CGTAAACAAAATGTCTCTAATAACATTTTATCTGACGATGGCACATATTTTAAAATGTTGACATATGAATAAATTTTAGTACTTCTTTTGATAATTTTTATTGTATTTGATGTACCTATGTTTTTATTGATGTAGCTATGTTATCTTTGTATTACAAAATATATATACATATTTATAAATATTTATATATATTTTTGTTATAACCTATAAAAAAGCAAATTTTATGAAATTTTCAATATTTATATATATATATATATATATATATATATATATATATATATATATATATATATATATATATATATATATATATATATATATATATGTATATATATATATATATATATATATATATATATATATATATATATATATATATATATATATATATATATATATATATATACGTATGTATGTATAGGGGAAATGGGGTATAACTGCCCCCGGAATGTTTGGATTAATGTTATATGATAATAAAAACAAAATGTATTTATTTAATAGTTTATTTCAGCAACCACATTATTAAGCTTTAAATTGATGCAATTAAAAAAAAAATTAAACGGTTTTTGAAAATATTACACAAAAATTATATTTTGTGAAAAAAACGGTTTTGCAAGCCTTCCCAGGAAAGGCATGTGGTTTTTCGTCTCGTACGACCAAGAAGTTAGATAACATGATCACGGCCGTTTGCGCAAGTTATATTATATGCGTTGCTGAAAAAAACAATAATAATAGTTTAAATAATTTGCGTGTTGTTTTTATTTTTGTTTTTCCTTAGTGGTTATTATTATCGGCAACAAAATTCAGTAAGTCAAACAAAAAAAAAAAGAAAAAAAAAAAAAAATGGTTTTAGGCGTTAAAAAGAATGACTTTCCCATATTTATGTGTTTTTTCTTTTAAAGAGGAAAGAGAAAATATGTATCGTCATCTGTTTTTAAAATATATTTGTATAATTATAATGTAACAAGTTTATATCAGGAGTTTATATATATATTTATATAAGTTTATATATATGTTTATATATAAGTATATATGAGTTTATATATATGTTTATATATAAGAGTTTATATCAAGAGTTTGTATATATATATATATATATATATATTATATATATATATATATATATATATATATATTATAATGTCACAAGTTTATATCATGAATTATACGATCGCGATTTGCAAACTCTAATAAAATATTAGGTCTTTAAAATTTTAGTTTATGCAAAGCTGTGTACTTTGTTTATAAGGAGCAAATTATTAAAAGTATGCTAGCGAGAAAGTTACAAAAAACAAAACAAAAATAATTTTTGAAAAAGAAAAGGAAAATCATACTTTTTATTGCTTCAAACTGTTTTTTTTTTTGCTTCGCCTTTTCGCCTAAATTTGTTGCTGATTGTAACTCATAAGACACAAAAATAAAAGCAGTACACAAATTATTTAAATAATTAATTTGTTTTTATTTTTTTCTATTTCAATCTCTTTTTATTTTGTTAGTTTTGTTTTTTTTGTTTTTGAAACTTTTTCAGCATTATTATAAAACTTGCAAACAGCTGTGTTCAAGTTGTCTAAAATAATATACTCGCATGTGGTCATACAAGACGAAAAACCGCACACCTTTCCTGGGATTAATGTTATATGAAAATAAAAACAAAATGTATTTTTTTAACAGTTTATTTCAGCAACCACATTATTAAGCTTTAAATTGATGCAATTAAGAAAAAAATTAAACGGTTTTAGAAAATAGTATTACACAAAAATTACATTTTGTGAAAAAAACGGTTTTGTCCCCATTGTGAGGCACAACCGCACCCTAACAAAAATCGTTGGGGTACACTTTTATTGGTACATTTTCTTTTCAATTGTCACAGCTCAGATTATTTGCTGATTTTGTTGCATATTTGCATACTGTGTAGGCATTTTTTATTTTAATTTTGATAAATATTAAAAGTATGCGGTTGAGCCTCCTGTGCATCTATGTGGTTCTGCCCTAGATGACAGTTTTAAAAAGAATATAGTTTCATAGCTTGCTTATTAGGTTATGTTGGATTCAGGCTGGATTCAGGCTGGATTCAGGCTGGAATGGAAGCTTTTATTCTTTCTCGTAGGTTTCAAGTCAAGCCTCACTCTACTCCATGGTTTTCTCCTTCTTGTGCGGCTGCTATATCCAATCGTAACCATTTTTTTCATCTTTTTCAAAAGAACAACTCTCTTGAGAACAAACGGCTATTTATTATTGCAAGAAATCGATGTAAAAAGGTGCTTTCTGATGCTAAACTCCATTATTCTCAGTTCACTAAATCTCGCATCTTATCGCAGAAGTTAGGCTCTAAAGACTTTTGGAAAATCTTCAACAGCATTGTTAACAAGGGTAGATCTAACATTCCATCTCTCATTCATGGGACTGATCTTGTTACCTCTCCCAGGGATAAGGCAGAACTGTTTGCAAAGAACTTTTCTTCTAATTCCACTCTTGAATCTTATGGACATTCTCTTCCTTCCATTCCAGTCAAACAGGTTTACCCATTGTTAGACATTCAAATCACTCCGGCTTCTGTTGCTAAAGTCATATCTCAATTAAACTCGTCTACAGCTTGTGGTCCAGACAACATTCCTGTCACAGTCTTGCAGAATTGTTCTCCAGAACTTTCTTCAATTCTCTCTAAACTATTTAACAAGTGTTTGACTGAGTCTTGTTTTCCTGCTTGTTGGAAAATGGCATCTGTGGTTCCAATATTCAAAAACTCTGGAGAAAATTCTGACCCCTCCAATTATCGTCCGATCAGTCTTCTTTCTGTTATTAGCAAGGTCTTTGAGTCTTTGATCAACAAATTCCTCACATCTCATCTTGAGTCAAATAAACTACTGTCAGACAATCAATACGGTTTTCAATCCTCTCGCTCTACGGCTGACTTGCTAACTGCTGTGACTGAAAGATTTTATTGTGCATTAGATGGAGGCGGTGAGGCTAGGGCTATTGCTCTCGACATATCTAAAGCTTTCGATAAAGTTTGGCATGCTGGTCTTCTCCATAAGCTTGCTTCATATGGTGTTTCTGGGAAAGTTTTTGAGATTGTCAAATCATTTCTTTCTAACCGGTTTATTAAAGTTATCCTTGAAGGCCAACACTCTTCTTTATTTCCAGTAACTTCTGGGGTTCCCCAAGGTTCCATCCTGGGCCCTGTTTTGTTTCTTATCTACATAAACAATCTTCCTGACAACCTTTCATCTAAAGTAGCTCTTTTTGCTGATGACTCAACTTTATACTCCTGTCTTGACAAAAAGTCTTCTCTTTTCGATCGCCTAGAACAAGCAGCTGATCTTGAATCCGATCTCACTTCAGTAATAGATTGGGGTTCACAGTGGCTTGTGAATTTCAACTCTAAAAAAACCCTATTGCTTACTGCAAACAATTACCGTAGTATGGTCAACATTCCTATATTAATGAATGGCAATCCTCTTACTGAGTCGTCCTCTTTACGTCTTCTTGGATTATCGCTTACTACTGACCTTTCATGGAAACCATATATACAATCGATTGCTAAATTAGCTTCTGCTAAGGTTGCTTCTTTTTATCGTGCTCGCCATTTTCTTACTTCTGATTCCATTCACTACCTCTACAAATCTCTTATTGGCCCTGTATGGAATACTGTTGTAATATTTGGGATGGTTCTTCTAACGATTCACTTTCTCTTCTTGACAAGGTCCAAAAACGCATTGTAAATGTTGTTGGACCTGGACTATCTGCTAAGCTTGAACCTCTTTCCCATCGTCGTAAAGTTGCATCTCTTTCTCTTTTCTACAGATACTATCATGGTCACTGCTCAAAGGAGTTATCATCTCTAGTTCCATCAACTAAAATTCATTCTCGTTTTACTCGTCATTCAGCTAAGTCTCATTCGTTTACTGTATCTGTCCCTGCATGCTATAAAAACTTTTATTCATCTAGTTTTTTTCCCCGCACTTCAACCCTTTGGAACTCTCTCCCATCTTCATGTTTTCCTGACTCATACAACCTTCAACTTTTCAAGTCTTCTGTCAACTGTTTCCTTGCTCTATAACTCTGTTCTTTTTTTTCCTTGTAACTCCCAACTTGATAGTGGTTGCTTGCAGCCTTGTTGGGAGTGAATGCAAATAAAAAAAATAAAAAAAAATGTTGATTTCAAAAATGATTTTCACTTGATGAAGTAATGCTAATAACACATGTCTTTAACACTAAAATTAAACGTTGCTTAATTCTCAAAAAAAAATGTCTGTAAAAATATGATGTAAATATAATATTTTTATCAAAATAAACATTATTATGCACAACTTCTCAGAAACATAACAGGTACTCTTTTTTACATAAGCAAATTGATGGAAGCTGTTTTACTAACGCGAGGTATGTTTTTTGCCATATTAGGTAACATTTTTCAAATTGAAATGTTAAAAAATGGCTGTGCCTCCATATGTATTTATGCCCCCACTTCCCATATGTATATATATATATTTTTATTTATAACAACACTAATAATAACATTAAATTTTCATTTTAATTTTTTACAATAATAAAAATATATAACTAACATTAACTACTAAACAATTTTCAATCTTAAAAAATCTAAAACACATATATAAGTCATAACTTTTATTAGACAAATCTTAGCAAATTTAGTTTTTTACTACTTATCTGATGATTACGTAACAACTGAAACTCTTGATAGTAATGTTTTATTATAAATATTAGCATTTAACTGTAAATGCATGTTTACATAAGCAGTCTGAAGTCATACTGAAATAGCCTGCTGTTGGGGGCTGCAATACATACATTGACTATCTTATAGATTGTTGCCGGTAAAAGTTCTGCTATATTAACTGGGGGTTTGGGCTTGATATAAAGCAATATACATATATATAACTATATACATATATAAATAAATACATACATATATATATTGCTTGTGTATGTATGTGTTGTTTATTGTTTACTTTATCTATTTTTTTTGTCTTTTTTTCTTTTAGTTGCCAGGTACACCGGACTTAGTGTTTCTTTCCTTCTCCCTTGGTTTTCATGGTCGAACCTTTGGTATGGATATCTAAAAATAATTTTTTTTTATTATTTTCTACTCAATTTTTTTTTCTATTTGCAAAAAATTGTAAAAAATAGTATTAAAATTGAAAGGTTTTGTTTTGCAAAAAATAATATATATATATATATATATATATATATATATTATATATATATATATATATATATATCTACTCTCTTACATAGCATTTTACATTTAGACTTGATTGTATATACAAACAACCTTTAAACTTGATTGTATATACAATCAAGTCTAAAGATCAAAAATTGAATAAACAGTTATTTCAGTGCAGTTATTTGTCATTTGTATTTTTTTTTATAGAAAGCTAAGAATAAACTTTTTTTAGCATTTTAAATCATTCCAGCAACTAAAATCTTTTAAAACTGATTCATTAATCTACCTTAGAAATACCACCTGTCAAAAGAGATTACCGGGTAAACAAGATCCCTAAAACTACTATCCAAATCAAGAGAATGTAGATGCACTTAAATACAAAATTGTCTAAAAATTACTGAGTGAATTTGTTATTATTTCCACCATTGTGGTGTTAGCCAAATCTCTGCTTGTGAACTAGTCACCCAGGTATTATTCATCACAGCATTTATGAGACTCTTTCATTTCTTAGTGAATTATCTTTTTCTCAGCTCATTTAATGATAAATTAGTATTTAATGAGAGTCTTTTAATGTCTTTAACTCACATTTTTGAGCAGAGGTTGCTGTTCTACTAAACCAAACTCCAGAATTTAAAGTTTTATATAACTCTGCCCAGTAAGAATACAGTTAACTTGACTGATGAAGTCACCTCTAGCAAAGTTTTTGTTATGAAATGTCTTAGCTAAGTGGGCTAGAGATTCTTTGGCTTTTACATAAAATATTACACCAAAATGTGAGTGCTTCAATTAAAGATAACCACCTTTAAAAAATTCTGTAATATTCAATTGAAGTTTGTGTACCTAATGTTACCTAAGTTACTTAATATTTCTTTCCCCTTTTAGAGTTTTCTTAGATTTATACATTTCCCTTACCTTTATATGTTCTTTTAAAATTAACATTAGATTTCTGTGGCGAATTTTTATCATTTTTCAATGATTCAAGCTTTGACACTCAATATAAATTCGTATATTTCCTTTGAATCATACAAAGCTTTTTCCTAAAAAATTTTGGAAATTTTTTTGTGGAAAAAAATTAGAGAAATAAAAAAAGGGAAGAGGTTCAAGTTGAAGAATAAACATTAAGTATTCAAATAATAGACATTATATAGAAAGAAAAAGGTTTTGAAATAAAAATAATAAAGATAATAGGTACTCTACATGAAAATTTTAAATTGATTAAACACTTGAATACTATATATCATTGGAAATCTCTTTAATACAGTATTTTGAAGGTGAAAAATTATCAAAATTGGACAGTTCTACAAAAAGTTATGCGGTTATTAGTAGCAAATTTTTGATGGATTTGTTAAAGAAACTGTGAAACTCAAAATATAGTTTTTCTTTATTAAAATTGTTATAACTTTGTCAATTTTCATTCAAATGCTTAAAACTTGCTATCAAAAAATAGATGTAACAGTGGGCTATAAATATATAATAAATTGAAGAGAGTTTTCGAGAACAATTTTGTTAGACTGTGACAGGAATGTTGTCTGGACCACAAGCCATAGAAGAGTTTAATCAAGATATGATAATGACCAATGGAAGCTGAAATGATTTGAATGTCTAACAATGGGTTAACTTGTTTAATTAGAATGGAAGGAAGAGAATGGCCATAAAATTCAAGAATCGGATTAGAAAAAAATTTCTTTGCTAATAGTTCAGCCTTATTTCATATATTTAAGTATAGCCTAGTACCAAGTATATTTCTAAATTTTTAATTTTTTAATTTCAATTCACCTCCCTAAGGCCACGAAGGCCACTTCAATTGAGAAGGCTACTTTTGTTATGGTTACAACCCACTTTCAACTGTATAACTCAGAAACATAAAACCTTGATAAACAATGCCTCTGTGTGTAGAAACAAGTTAAGCGCTGTACTACCAGGGGCGTGGTGGGGATCTAACATCACAAATTGAAATAATTCTACTAAAACAATTTGTTTATCTAAAAATAATTTATGTCTAAACAACACATGATTGTTGTTTAGATATCTAAATTGCTAATAATTTGATAAAGAATTCTAAGTAAACTGCATGTGCATATTTTCGTTTTTTTAAAATTTAAATCAAAAACGTTTCTCTAAAATTGTATTTATTTTTTTGAAAGTTTTCTTTTCATAGTAAAAAAAAAAATATATATATATTTTTTTAACTGAGTTTTTCTAATATCTTTTAAAATAATTGTTTGGCTTTAATTTGAGTCCAAGTATTTGTTTACCAGTACCAATTTAAAGTTGTATGGTTTTATATTTTCAAATTTCTATAATTAGTTAATTCATTGGTATTGGCATCGGTATCGGCCTTTTCCCATCCATCAGCATCGATATCGACATCGGCCAAAAAAGTGATATCGGTACATCACTAGTGTCTACCCATCGAGCATATCCAGGGGACTAGAGAGGATGCCAAACTACCATCTTTACCACCCAAAAAACGATTAAAAGATGTCTTTCTTATGCCCCCACTGAGTCCCGTGCCCACTGGGATCCAGTGGGCATTAGACCTAAAAAAGACGTATTTTGAACGCTCAAAAGACGTCCAGAACGTTTAAAAGACGTTGAAAACACTCCAAAGACGTTTAAAAAACCTCTTTTGTATGTCCACTGGGTAAAGCATGCAATCATTAAATTATAAACAATAAAAAAAAAAGAAAAGTAGTTTAACTAATGCAAAAACTACAAAAAATATTTATTTTAATCTAGGAACTTGATTATAAAAGGTTATAAAAGTGCTTTTTATTTTAATATTTTTATTATTTCAAATAAATAAGTAAACATTTATGCTTATTAATGACATCAACTTCTCAATGGGACGGAATTGTGTGCAAATTAATGGATCCAAGCTTTTTGGTATGAATTTGATGTCGCTCTTCTTAGAATAATGACAAGAAGCAAGATTAGGCCAGAACCAACAAGCGGCATTGTGACTTCAATAAAATTCCAAAAGTCTAGCTAGCAAGTATTCTTTGATGTAAACATCCAAGTTTATAATTGACGATGTGACAAAAGCTCGAGATTTTAAACCGCAGCTGCATATTGCTTGCCAAATTTTAATCTTTAAAAAACTCTGAAACTTTACATCCTTTGGCTGGCACTTTGTTTGATAAGCCGGGGTTTTGCGTGAATGATCGTCGAATACTAATTGGGGTTTTCTTATCCATATATCTACTCTTTCACCCAGATCCTTTTGCTTGTTTGATAGATAGAGAGCTCTTGTATGGTTTTATGACAATGCAAACAGAAGTTTTGCTAGATTCAGATGCCTTAGCAATTGAAATTATCAACGTAGAAGGACGTAAATAGTTGTGCAGAATTTTTTTTCATTTTTCTAAATGTTTCAATGACGTTTTAATTAAGAGAAACATTTTGATTAGTTTGTTGATGTTTTTAATTAATACCATAATTAATTTATGTAATTACGCGAAAAAAATAATTTAATAATGTGTTAGTGACAAGTTTTAAACAAAATTTATCGTTCCATATTAAACGATCGCATGCTTTAGTTTAATTTTAAAGATATCAATAACGTTTGATCATTATATCGCGCATTAAATATTTAACAGCATAGTATTAGTATAAAAATATAATATAAGGCAAAATGTGCATCACTGTAATGTTTCCTTTTATAATTTACTTTTTTTTTTAATAAAGAATATTAAGAAATTTTATTAAAGGGTAGTATTTGTTGAGCACAAAATTGGTAAAATATTCATTTTTATTACGTTTTGGCAAGACCGTAACTGTTAGAAAAAAATATTTTCAAAAAATAGAAGTTCAATAGATAATTCATTCAACAAATTAGTTTAACAATAAATAAATAAAGTTTGTCTACAGTAAAAAAATAAACATACATTCTATTCCGTTAAAAAAAACAAGAGCCGAGAACCGCTCAATTTTTGGGGCTTCAGCTCCGGCTCCACTAAAAAACAGCGGCTCCTCGGCTCCACGACTCCGGCTCGGCTCCACAGGCCTGATCCTTACCATGATTAGATTTGGAGGTTACTAAATATTACAAAAAATATCAAAATATACATCCTTACCATGATTAGATTTGAAGGTTACTAAATATTACAAAAAAAAAAGTTGTGATTTTATGTTGTAGACATTTCAAGAATGAAGTAATACAACTATAGTGGTTTTTTTAATAATAATAAAATTATATAAATTATATTTATAAACAACAATAATATAATTAACATGAAATTAATACTGAAATTTTGCTTTTTATAACTAATACTGAAATAATTAATACTGAAATTTTGCTTTTTATATATATAAAATTTGCTTTTTGCTCCTCTTGAACTTTATTGTAGTTAAAATGGCTTTGTGTAGACCTGTAGCAGGTATCTAGTATCCTATGACTTAAACTCTTTCTTTTGATTTATGGCTTTAAAGTTGTTTAATTATTTACTATTCTTAGGTATTAGGTAATTTTTCAGAAGTGCTTAAGTAGCTCTGATGCTTCTAGTGAAAATTTTGCAAAAAAATAAAAAAATAATTTACACCTGTTTCATCATCTTTTATGTGCAATTTTTATTTTTACAATTAAAAAAATGGTATATAAAATTTAGAGTCAACAACAGAACACTCTGTTAAACATTTAAATTCTGCCACAACAGAACACTTTGTTAAATACTTAAATTCTGCAACAACAGAACACTTTGCATAAATTATTATGTTATTATGTTAATACTTGTTAAATTTATTGCTTGTGATTTTTTGAAAAATTAAAAGTTATGATTAAATTAAAAGCAAAATGTAATGAAATTTAAAGTTTTTTAAAAATAACAGTATTTTTCTGCAGGTTACATTTTTATACATTAAACCATTTCTAATTAAGAAGTTTGATTTTTTCTAAAGGAAAATTTGGCTAGGAAATGTCACTTGGCTCACTGTAATGCTTAAAGTAGAAAGCTTTTTTTGTCGGATCCAATTGTGACACAGTTGGATCCGACAATAAATTTTCTCATAGAATTTTCTATACTTTTCTATATATATATATATATATATATATATATATATATATATATATATATATATATATATATATATATATATATATATATATATATATATATTTTTAAAGACTTTATCCCATTTTATATTTTGGAATTAATTCTTAAGGTTGCTGGTTTAAAAATTAAATAACAAAGTAACCTCTATAGTATCCAACCCCCTTAAAATTTGGAGTAAGTTATGTGTTTAATAATATTGAAAGTACTTTTATTTTTTTTAATAATTTAAAAAGTACACAAGTTTTGAATGTTGCTTTATTAAGGTGCTTTGTCTGTGACTCATTCAAAACCAATTCACAAAGTCGATATTCCTGGATTTAAGTGGCCTATTACTGATTTTCCTGACTTGAAGTATCCATTAGAGGATTATGTTAAAGAGAATAAAGAAGAAGAGGCTCGGTGTTTAGAAATGGTACTTTATTGTTCTTTGTATTTTTCTTTTATTATTATTTTAGTTATAATAAAAATTAAGTCTGAAAAAAAATTAAATTTCAGACCTGGAGAGACCATATCTCAGTATTCAGATCTTAGTAAGATCTCCACCAAGTTTACATGTTCATTTTTTGAAATAAATTTAAAAGTTTACAGAATTTTACTTAAGTTTCAGGTTCAAGATAATAAAGTTGAACTTCTTTTGTTATATTTTTTTTGACCTGCAAACACCAAGACATGGTTGATCAAGTTCATTATTGCCAGTTAAATTAACAACTTTTTTTTAACTTTTGTAAAAAAAAACAAACAAAAAAACCACTATATAAACAAACAAATCTTTTTGTAATAAATAAATATTATTGTAATAAATAAACATTTATTACGGCATCATTTTAAATGTTTTAAATAAAACTCTTTAATTTCATTTATATAACAAAAAACTGTTATTTGAAATATTCGAGGAAATAGCAACGTTTATATTTTTATTAATTTTTAATTAAACTAGACTGACTTCTTGTGATATGAAGATTTCTTCAACCATAACACTTTTTTTTATATGATGTTTGTTGTCAGGGGCTATTCTAGGAAATTAATTTGGGCAAGAACCAGGTACAACAGTACCTGGTTCATAAATTCTAGGAACAACAGGTACAACAGTACCTGTTGTACCTAGTACAACAGGTACTGTACAACAGGTACAACAGTACCATAAATTCTAGGTACAACAGGTACAACAGAACCTGGTTCATAAATTCTAGGAAATTAATTTGGGGCCAGAACCAGGTACAACAGTACCTGGTTCTGGCCCCAATGACACAGAAATTTGGCAGAAAAATTGCTGTATGTTTCATTTTTTCGCAAAAACAATATTTGCTGTAAAAAACAAACAAAAAAAACAACTGAAGGTTCTCAATGTCTGAATTTGGGTTGCGCCCAAAAACAATTGGTGGTGTCAAAAAGGGTTTAGAGTAGCCCCTGGGTGTTGTCAATAAAAGTCTAACAAAAGATAACCTACTTTGATTTTTTAATGAGAAAGATATTGTTGGTTTAAATGTCTAATTTAAAAATCTTGTATTGTCAATTATTAAATATAAAATTCAAATTTTCTGTAAAATACAAATCTCTATTACACATAAAATTTAAAATAAGTTTTAAAATTACATTAAAATGCAGAATTGTTTTATTCTTTTTTTAAAGTGTTTTGTATGTATGTGATACTATGGTTTATTTTTATAATGTAAAGTTGTTTTTAGCTTTTCACTTATTTATATTTCAAAAAATTCTATATTTTATTTTAATTAAATGTTTTAACAGTTTTATTTATGCTAGAAAAAATACTTTAATGGCAAATAAGGTTTTGATTATGCTTCTACCAAAACTCAACAATTTGAATGAATGAGACATCAGTGTTGAATAAGACATTTATTCTCAGAGTATACTATTGAGTTTTAACTTTGTCACTTGCTTTGAGTTTTAACTTTATAACTTGCTTTGAGTTTTAACTTTAGTTTTTAGCTTTGATTTTTAACTTTATCACTTGCATATTTACCAGTTTAAGAAAAATTATTTTTTCCTAAGCTGGTAAACATGCAAGTGAAGCTTGTAAATATGTAAGTGAAGCTGGTAAATATGAGTTTTTATAAAAACTTTGAATCAGACTATGATAAAAATAGAAATTTAATTGCACAATGCAGATTGGTCATTGCATAATATTAAAAACAAGTTGAATATTGTTAATCTAAAGTTTAAAGAGTTGTCTAAATTTTTTTCTGAAAGTTTTATTAGCAGGAAGTCAGTGTCTGGTTTGCAGAAAAAGGAGATTATTCAATTGTCAGGGAAGTGGTAGGATATTAAGCCAAATACAGCAAAATTTTAACTATGAACACTTATCATTTATGTAACTTGAACATTCATGTAATAATACAATTATTGGAAAAGTAAACGTAGGTTTAGAGTTTACTTCAGGATAACAAAAATTTCCTTTCAAAAACAAACAAAAAATGTTTAAAGAGATTAAAATGGTGTAGAGATCACTGGAACTGGTTTTAGATCAATATACAAATAAGTTATGCCTTTTGAAACAAGGCAATAGCAACAAAATATACAGCAAGAAAAATAAAAATGATGGAAAAGTAAAATTAAAAATGATGGACTTTTAATCACTTAAATAAAAATGATGGACTTTTAATCACTTAAGTTGGATCTTAATCCAATTAAGAAATCTTTTTGGAGGACACTGTATATATTTATAGTTTTTTGAAGGCTCAGTATATATTTATAGTTTTTTGGAGGCACTGTACATATTTATAGTTTTTCGGAGGCACTGTATATATTTATAGTTTTTTAGAGACACTGTATATGTTATAGTTTTTTGAAGACACTGTATATATTCTTAGTTTTTTGAGGACAGTGTATATATTTATAGTTTTTTGAGGACACAGTATGTATTTATAATTTTTTTGAGGACACTGATTATATTTATCATTTTTTAGGACACTGTATATATTTATACATTTGTTGAGGATACTGTATAAATTTATATTTTTTTGAGGGCAATGTATATATTTAGAAACTATATATTCAAAATTTTTTGAGAACGCTATATATTTTATATACAGTGTTCTTGAAAAATGTTAACTTATCTGTAAATAATATATAATTTAGCTGTAAATAATATTGGTACAACATACTGTATTAATAATACTTTGTATTAACAAAATAAATATATATACTATAATAAAATAAATATATTTGGAATAATAAAAATCATCACCTATGAACTTAAACTCTATAGGAATTTCAAAACTAAAAATTTCAAAAAAAATTTCATAATTAAATAAAAAACTTACTGATTAAACTATATTTTAATATATATGTTAATACAAAGTATTATTATGTCAGGTCAGGTTATCCTGCTACTGGTAACATGTAACCCAGTACAATCTGCTTCATGTCCAGCTGCCTTGTAGGATACGCCTTTTTAGACAAAATAAAGTTAAGTAAAGGCTAGAGATAGTGTCTCAATAAAAATACTCATCTTGGGCAATTGTTAAATGCATCCTGCTGCTGTCTTGTAGAAGGCCTCCTAGGCAAAGACTTAAGGAGTAAACAGATTCTATCTTTTGACCAGCCTTGCACCCCTACTTCATCTATTAGGCTAGCGCAGATGTATTTTTAATACATTGTTTCCAGTTTAGGGTGTTGAATGCTGGATCTTCTTGACTCGATGCATGAATTTTGCTTGTGTCTCTGTTTTTATGACTAGGCAACTCATTCTATTATCTCCTAATGAGGGTACAGCACTAAAACTCAGTTTTATGGTTCTGAGGCCTGATGGTAGTCTGGTTTCCCGAACTCTGTGGTAGCTCTCAGAGATGTTGATTCCATCAACAGCTGAAAAATACCAAGGTATTAACAGTGCCATGGTGTCCCTGTTTGTACTTTTGGTGTGCATTGCCAAGGCCACATTGGAGCCCTTTGTTACGGCTTAGGGTTTATTAAAAGTAATGAGGCAGTTGCTTGGGCTATTAAACAGTGTACTGAGTACTATTATTGCTTTGAGTCAAGTTCTTTAAAAATTTAAAAATGAATAAAGTAACAAAAACTATAAAATTCAAAAAGCCATTGTCACCAAGTTCTCTAAACCTATTATTCACTAATGTTTGTTGTCTTTAAAGTAACTTTTCTTCTGTTAAGTCTTCTGTTAAGTCTTGCTCTTTGTGAGACTAATTTGAGTTCAGCTGTCTTATCTTGTGATCTTAGTGTTGATGGTTATCTTCATTTAATTTGTAAAGACTCCAATAGTCTAATGGCCTAGGCATTTACATTCGTAAGAATTCAACCATTTGTCAGGAAACTAGGTTTGAATCCACAGACTACTCTTTTATGTGCTTTCATTTAGCACCATTTCACTCTATCATCTTTCTCTTTGTTCTATATCGCTCTCTTTTATCTCAAGACCGCTTGATGTTATTTCTTGATGTTATTTCTGATTATATTGACCAAGCCCTCTCTCTTGATCCATCAGCCAATATTGTTGTTGTCAGTGACTTTAATGTTCATTTCACTGAATGGCTTGGCTCTAGTATAAGCAACTCTGCAGGCATTAAAGCCCACAACTTTTGCCTTTCTCAATCCCTAACTCAAATAGTCAACTTTCCAACTCGCTTTCCAGACAACCCGAATCATTTACCTTCTCTACTTGACTTATGTCTTGTTTCTGATCCTAGCCAGTGCTCAGTTTCTCCACATTCACTCTTAGGTGCCTCTGATCACAGTTTGGTCTCTCTAAAACTGATATCTTATTCTTCTTTATCATCAGAATCCCTTTATGATCATATATCTTACAACTATCTTAAAGTTGACTGGGACTCTTTCCGTTATTTTCTTCATGATGGCCCTTGGGTAGAAATCTTTCGTCTTCCTGTTGACAAATGGGGTTCTCACATAATTTCGTGGATTCAGACTTTGTTACCTTACCTAAAGGCAAAGCTGAATTGTTTGCTAAGAACTATTCATCAATATCATCTCTTGATTCCACAAGTTGCGTTCTACCTGATATAGCCGTCAAACAGGTTGATCGATTGCTTGACATTCTTATCACTCTAGCTTCTGTATCTAAAGTGATTTCCTACTTAGACTCTTCTACAGCTTGTGGCCCGGACAAAATACCTGCTATAGTCTTGCAGAAGTGTTCTTTTGAGCTGTTTTCTACCCTTTCAAAACTATTCAACAAGTGCTTATCAGAGTCTTGTTTTCCAGCCTGCTGGAAAGCATCATCTGTTATCCCTATTTTTAAAATTTATGTAGAGCGATCTGATTCATCTAACTACCGCCCCACTAGTCTTCTTCCTATCAAAACCAAGGTTTTTGAATCTTTAACAAACACATAATCTCTCATCTTAAATCTAATAACATACTTTCTGATCATCAATATGGATTTTAATCTTCTCTTCTCCGGCTGATTTGCTAACAGTAATAACCGATAGGTTTATCGTGCATTAGATAAAGGTGGAGAGGTTAAGGCCATTGCTCTTGACATTTCTAAAGCATTTGATAAAGTTTGGCATGCTGGTCTTCTTCATAAGCTATCTTCTTACGGTATATCTGGAATCTTTAAGATTATTGAATCCTTCCTTTTCGATCGTAGTACAAAAGTTGTCCTCGATAAACAGCACTTTTCTTCATATTCTGTAACCTCAGGGGTTCTTCAAGGTTTAATCCTAGGCCCTATACTCTTTTTAATTTACGTTAACGATCTTCCAGATATTTTCACATCTAAGGTGGCATTGTTGGTTGATGATACTACCATTTATTCTTGTCATGATTAGAAGCCAACACTCTCTGATTGCTTGGAGGGGGCATTTGAGCTTGAAAAGGATCTCAATTCTGCTACAGCATTGGGTTCACACTAATTGGTGAACTTTAATTTAGATAAAACTCAATTTTTTTCAGCCAATCGTTATCGCAATAATTTAGACCTATATTTATGAATGGCAATGTACTCGATGAGTCATCTACCCTTCATCTTCTAGGATTAACTCTTACTTCTGATCTTTGTTGGAAACCATATATCAAATCTGTTGCAAAATTAGCATCTGCTAAAGTTGCATCTCTTTATCGAGCTCAACACTTTCTTACTCTGGATTCTATTCTATATCTTTATAAATCTCAAATCTGGCCTTGTATGGAATACTGTTGCCATATCTGGGGTGGATCTTCTAATGATGCTCTTTCTCTTTTAGACAAGGTGCAAAAACACATTGTAAACATAGTTGGACTTGCTCTTGCAGCCAACCTTCTCAACTATTATCACATTGTCGTAATGTTGCTTCTCTTTCTCTTTTCTACAAATATTATAATTGACACTGCTCTAAAGAGTTTGCATCTCTTGTGCCATCTACTAAAATTTATTCTTGTGTTACTCATCATTCAATTAAGTCTCATCCTTTTTCTGTGACTGTTTCTAAGTGCTCCATAAACTCTTATTCTTCTAGTTTTTTTCCTTGAACATCAGTTCTTTGGAATTCGTTTCCTTCATCTTGCTTTCCTGATTCATATAATTTGCAATCTTTTAAGTCATCTGTCAATCCTTATCTTGCTCTATAATCTTCATTTTTCTCTTCCAATAACTTCCAACTCTAATTAGTAGTTGCTTGCAACCTTGTTGGAAACAAAGATGTTTAAAAAAAAAAAAAAAAAATTGTGTTTTATAGAAGAAATAATAAATTTTTTCTGTAAATATTTTACTTTAAAACATTAAAGTATTATTTCTGCAAATTTTAAAAATTATCAAGTTTTCATCCAATATTTTACTAGGTTCAGATACTTTGTAATTTTCATCAACTTCTAAGTTCTTTGTCTTGTACAACAGTAGCAAGGTGCCTGTGCTAAAATGTAACAATTTTGAGTAAGAAAGGTATATAAAACCATTATTACAACCACTGTCACAAAGTTTGATCAGTGACAGTTTTCAGATCCATTTTTTTTATAAATATAGATTGGTGATGGATAGAAATAATCAAAATTAGAATGTGAGTTTCCTTATGGTTTGGTTTCCTTATGCTCTACCTTTTATGAGTATTCAATAATCTAAATTATGACTATGTTTATAGAAAAAAAATTATAAACCTGAGTTTATATAGAAAAAAAATTATAAAATGTTTAGTTTCTGAATGATATCTAAATACAATTGAAAATTGGTTCTACAAAATACTGATTTCTTTTTTGGTCCCCACATTTATTAAAAATAGTCTCATGAATTATATTTTCAGAAATACTAGCTTTATACCAAGAAAGCACAGTTGTAATTTTTTCGAAATATATTTTACTTTCATAATTCTATGTATGAATGCAAAAATACTTTGGTTTGGATCTATATTGTCTACTGCTGGTTTTTTGTACATAAAAGGGAATAATCTAATAATAATAATATACAATAGTTTGTACAATATAGCTGTTAAACAAATTTGATGTTCTTGGATTTCCTGGAGTTTTATGTTTTCTTTTGATTAATGCTGAGAATGTACCAACTTCATTTGTCCATAAAGTTCATTGTTTTTTGAAAAAACTTTATCTAAAATTTTTAAATATTGTTTGTTATTCAGTGTTTCCTAATGGCTGCATTTGGCGGTGTTAATTTTATTTTATTTTTACATTTAGGATAGTATAATCCTTTTGTTATTTGTTATCTTAAACTTTCTAGCTTTACTAAAGTAGAAGCTTTACTAATAGAAGCTGTTCAAAAATATTTACTGCTGTTACTATGACTGCAATCATCTTAAGAAATTACTATGACTGCAATTATCTTTTTTGCAGTTTTTAATCTTGTAGTTGTTGTACATAGTTTACATTCCGATTTAAATTTTTTTGATTTGTGTGATTTCTAGTTTGCAGTGTTTAATTTGCTTCATCAAGCTTTTAAACAATATTTAAAATTTTGAAATATTCTCAATAGTTTTGCATTTGATTCAATTTGTATTAAACATCTATTACTTGGTATCAGCATTATTTTTGTAATAATCAGAGGTCATCTTAAAATGATCAAAAAATTAATTGGTGGCAATTTTTTTGGAAAGAAAACAAGTATCAGATATTATATTGCTAGAATTAGTTATTACAGCATAAGTTACCATAACATAAGGTAGCAAAGATACTGTTAGTTAACCCTAACTCTTAGTTACCAGAGATACCATTAGTTAACCCTAACTCTAAGTTACCATAGATACTTTTAGTTAACCCTAACCCTGTTGACATTCCTATATTGTTGAATGGCAGCCCTCTCACTGAGTCTGCTTCTTTATGTCCTCTTGCATTATCGTTATCTACTTATCTCTCATGGAAATCATATATTCAATCAACTGCTAAGTTAGCAACTGCTAAAGTTGCTTGTCTTTATTGCGCTTGCTATTTTCTTACTTCTGCCACCATTTCTACCTCAACAAATCTCTTATTCGTCCATATACAAATTCTTCTAATGATGATCTTTCTCTTCTAGCCAAGGTCCAATAATGTATTGTAAACATAATTGGACCTGCTAAACATAGTTAACCCTGACCCCTAACCCTAACCCTGGACCTGCTCTCTCTGCAAAGGCTTGAGCCTCTCTCCCATCGTCATAAAGTTTATCTATTTCTCTTTTCTACTAACACTATCATGATCGCTATGAATTAGTGATAATAGCTTAAAGGAGCTGTTATCTCTAGTTCCATCAACTAAAACTCATTCTCGCTTGACTCATCATTCGGCGAAGTCTCATTCGTTTATTGTATCTGTTCCTGAATAGTCTAAAATCTTTTGTCTAGCTTTTTTTCTTTATTTTACCTCTTTGTAACTCTCTCCAATTTTCATGTTTGTCTGACTCTAACATATTTCAAGTTTTCTGTCAACTGTTTCCTTGCTCTATTCTTTATAGTCTAGTAACTCTTAATTTAATAGCAGTTGCTTGTAGCCTTTTTGGGAGTGAATCTGAATTTAAAAAAAAAAGTTACAATAGCATAAGTTAAATGCATGTCTAATGGTTTTTGAAAAATTTCAATGTTGATTTGATTTGTTGATTCTTAGACTTTTGGTGGGTCCTGATATATAAACCATTATAGTTGTACCGTAAAAAAAGTTCTTGTTGATGATCTGCATAAAATTTCTACAAGTTTTTCCGAGATGATTATAACAAATTTTTAAAAATTTTATTTTTTACATTATTACATTTTTCATTTTAATCTTGAATTGAAACAAATTTAACTGAATTTTATTTAAAAATGTTTTGTAATATTTGTTCTTCAAAATAATTTTAAAGCAAACTGATCTTGCTCTGGCAATTGTGAAGATGATTGGTTTTGACTTGTCATGTGTGACATGCATGACAATATTCAGTGCAAACTAATTAAATAACTGGTTGTTTTTATTTTTAACTTAATATATTTTATTTTTTAACCAATGTAGGTCAAATTTTTTTATTTGTTGAAAAAATATTTTTTTAGGTATTTCTCAAGTACCTAAAACAAATAATTTTTACAAGTTTTGATTTTTAATTATGTACAGAAAATGGAAAAGAATTGAAAAATAAAATAAAATAAAAATTACTCTTTTTATTCACAATTTAATTATTCACTAATTTTAAAGTTTTTGATTTTAGATGCGTAAAACTATACACGAATGGAATAATAAAGGAAAGTTTGTTGCTGGTGTTATTGTTGAGCCAATACAATCTGAAGGAGGTTTTCAAATTTTAGTTTTATATAAATACTTTATTTTTTTAATTTATTTTTTAAATCATCTTGAAGTATTATTTTATAAATTTTTAACTAAACTTATTTTTAATTTATTATTTATTTGAACTTAAATATATTTTTAAACTAATTTCAAGTAATTAATATGTGCCGTGTATTATCTATGTTTAAGTATATATTCAAAATTCAAGCTTTACTCTATTTTGTGGTTTTCTCCTTTTTTTGCAGCTTCTATTACTAATTGAAATCATTTTTTTCTTCTTTTTCATCAAAGCAACTTTCTTGAGAACTAATGCTTATTTATAAATGCAAAAAATTCATGCAAAAAGGTGTCGTCTAACGCTAAAGTCCATGATTTTCAGAATAATCAACAGAATGATTATTCTAACTTAAACTTAGATGATTGCAATCAACTCTGATTCATCTCCTAAATCTTTAATCAGCTTGCTTTAGAGCTTACTTATTAACTGTTATGAATGATTCTATCATGCATTATATGGAAACTATAAGGCAAGTGTTATTGCGCTTGACATATCAAAAACTCTCAAAAAATGTTGGACTTCTTCATAAGCTCTCTTCAACCAAAATTTTACAACCATTATGGCAATAATGGTTAGTAAATTTCTTACATTTTTATGAAAAGTTAGTATTTTTTAAGGTTGCCTTTTTTTTATTCCTTTTTCTTACTTCTGATTCCATTTTTTACTTTTATAAAAACATACTTATAATTGAAATCTTTTGAGATTAATTTTTACCATTTTTAGAAACTGATGCAAAAGGTGATTATTTAACATTAAACCCAATAATCTTCCATCAATAACCCTTATTAATATATATCTTCTTACTTGTATCTCAAATGTTCTTAAAAACTTTGAGAAATTTTTTACTAGTGTCAGTAACAAAAGTAATTCTAATATTTATTATAATATTTACTATAATATTTATAATATTTAATCTTATTTATACAAGAATAACTTTGTTACTTTTCCAAGAAAGATGTAGAACTATTTGCAAAGAACTTTTTATCTGATTGCACTCTTTATTACATCTCAGACAAATAATAATTTGCTTCGGTAGACAATTTAAGTACCCCTGCTTCTGTTGCTTCAAATTTCTTTAGTTTGTGGTCTGAAAATCCTTTTAGACCACAAACTAAATGTCAGTTCTGCAGTCTTCACACTCTTTAAACAATGTTTTTTGCTTAACTTATTCTTATTTTTCGTGCCTGCTGGAAAATGGCTGCACTGTTCCTAATTTTTGTTTATTTTTTTCAATTTTCTCTAAAGATTACTATAACTATTTCTCAATCAGTTTTTTAATGTCATTATCAACCAATCACTTTTTTTTTGTCATTACTCAACCAATTACTTTTTTAATGTTATTAATCAATCAACTTTTTAATGCCATTAATCTACCAATCACTTTTTTAATGTCATTAATCAACCAATCACTTTTTATTTTCATTAGCATGATCTTTAATTTTTAAAACTTTTAATATTTCATCAAACAATATTTCAGACAAAAAATTTACAAACCGGTTGGTTATTTAGTCATATAGTTTTGAGTTGTAAATTTGCATATTTTTAATTCATTGAAACTTTATTGTATATTCTTCTTCATTGTATGGTATAATATACAGTGTTTTTTACTTCTTTTAACAGTTTCTTGGTCTTTAATCTTTTAAAACTTTATCTTTTAACTTTCATGCTAAAAACTTTTTTCTAAATTTTTTTTTTTATTTAGTTATAGTAATTTACAACTAATAGATAAAACAGACTCTATTTTATAAAAAATATAACAATTAGTTAGCTTTGAATAAAATACTTTTTTTTAATATTCAGGCGATAATCATGCATCTCCAGATTTCTTTAGACAAGTTCAAAAAATAGCATCTGAGGTTTGAATATTTTTATTTTTGTTGTCAACTTCATTAAAGCCATACCTTAAACATTATGTTTAATAATAGGCAAATGCTGCATTCATAGTAGATGAAGTGCAAACTGGCTGTTGTTCGACTGGAAAGTTTTGGTAAGACCTTACATGAGTAATTAAAAAAGTGTACTTAAATTTATGTAATGAATTATAGTAATTAATTATGTAATAAATTACTGAAGTTAAATATGTTATAAATTATTTTATTTATGTAATAAATTATTGCAATTAATTATGTAATAAGTTATTGCAATTAATTATCTAATAAATTATTATAATAATTTTCAAATAAATTTTTGTAATTCATTGTGTAATTTTTTTTTTTCTATACATAATTTATTATTGTCAAAGGAAAATTTATTATTGTCAAGGAAAAATGTTTTGATTGGTTGTTTTTGTTTTATGTTTTGATTGGTTGTTTTTGTTTTATGTTTTTTTTTTTGTTATGATTATGATTGTTTAAATTAAATTTGTATAAATTTTTTGAATTTGCTTTAAATATTTTTTCTTATTCTTTATTGTTTGTTATTATATATTAATAGCTTTGTTGACAAAAAAATTTAACAATATTAAAAAATTAAGAAATATGTAATTTACCCACTTTTTTGATTTGTTGTGTTAAAATAGAAATTTGACTTTTATGGAACCAAACCAGTACCATTAAAATTTTAGAAAAATGTTATCAGCTTTGATTTATACAATTCTATACTTATATTACTTATATTACTCTAAAGTTCTTCAATATGATTAAGGGCACACGAACATTGGGATTTACCAGAGGCACCAGATATGGTTACTTTTGCTAAGAAATTACTTGTTGGTGGATATTATTTCAAAAGAAGTTTTCTTCCAAAGCAGGTTTTTTTATTTTTTATTTGCTTTCTAAATAAAGAAAAAAAATAAAATTTAATTATTTTATAATAGTTTAATTATTTTATAAAAGTTTTAGTTAATCTCAAACTTGTCTCTTCATCTAAAATTTGTCTCTGTTATCTCAAATTCTTATTCTCACGTATAGCTGAAATTTTTCCAAGATTTCACAGACTTCATTAATTTTTAGTGTAGCAAATAGTATTTGTGATATTGCTGAATTTTCCATTATATTTAATTAATTTTTGGTGGTTAAGTTAAGAAATTCAAATCGTTTCGTGTTTCGTGTTTCGTGTTTCGTGTTACTAATAATAATTACAATGACTTAAGTTAAAAATTAAAAAAAGTTGAACAACAAAATGTAGAAAATCAAAAATAAAGCAAAAGAAATACTCAACATTTTCCCTCTTGTTTATTTTGTATTCTTTAAATTTTATAAGTTTTTAATTCAAAACTGAATAATATGGTACTATAGAGTTTTGGATTCATCTTTGTTTTTGTGATATGACTGATATATAGATTAAAGTAAAATGGTTACTAAGGGTAACCCTAAATTTAAATTGTAAGAACATTTTATTTAAGGTTTCAAAAGCAAAATAACTTTTGAAATGAACTTTAATATAAATAATAATAGCAATAAATAGCTTTAGTCACTTCAATAATAAAGTTTTCTTACTCACAATCATACATTACAGTGTGAAAAAACAAGTCAAGTGGTACTAGTCATCTAAAGACCACTTGCAAGGAATTGAGGGTTCAACCTAATATGAGTCTCTTGGGATGAAATATCCAGCAAACATTCTATAGCAGAGTTTCAGTAGATTTGTGTAGGCATTTTGAGCGGTCCCATGTAGTTTTGCTCATCAGTTACTTAGTGGACCATTCATGGCAGTTTCCAAAAGTGGCTAGCCGTCACTTGTTGGAAAGTAATCAACTAGGCACTGGTAAAACTCCAATAAACCGCTCAAAATGCCTATTTCAGACCACTTAGCTGAATGACGAGTAAAACGAGAATGAATTTTAGTTGATGGAACTAGAGATGATAACTCCTTTGAGCAGTGACCATGATAGTATCTGTAGAAAAAAGAAAGAGATGCAACTTTACGACGATGGGAAAGAGGTTCAAGCTTAGCAGATAGTCCAGGTCCAACAACATTTACAATGCGTTTTTGGACCTTGTCAAGAAGAGAAAGTGAATCATTAGAAGAACCAGCCCAAATATGACAACAGTATTCCATACAGGGATTATTAACAAAATATTTATTTTTGATGTTTAAGCCAAAATGCAAACATTTTTTTATGTTTAACTCAATCAGCCATTTTTCGGATCAATTAAACACTGTAAAAGTAGGGGGGGGGGGGTCCAAAATTCTATGTTTCTTGTTTAACCAGTTATTCTTAATTAATTTTTTGAGAAAATTTTAAAAAACAATTCAGTTTTTGCTGATTTTTGACCTTCTACTTCTATTTTAAAAATTTAAAGATATAAAAAATAAAAGTCTAATGGTTGACCTTCTACTTCTATTTTCAAAATTTAAAGATAAAAAATAAAAGTCTTTGCAAAAGTTTCTTTGCGTATAAAGTTACGCAACTTTTCTTTCAAATTTATGCTATTCAAATTTTGATTGGATAAACTTGATTTTTAATCGTTGCGTTTTAGAAAAAAAAAGTTTAATCTGAAGTCTTTCTCTAAAAAAACGTTTTAAATAAGTAAAACGACGGATTGCTTCATAAAAAAAGTTTTATCTGAAGTCTTTTTCTAAACAAAACGTTTTAAGTAATCAAAAAGACAGATTGCTTCAAAATATCTTAATTTCCTTTTTTTATTTTTTTTATTCGTTATTCAAGCTATCAAGAAGGCTATTCAAGATTTCATTTTTTTTTTTCACTTTTCTTTAATGAAGTCAAGAATAAATCTTCTTTTAAAGTGCCAGTCAGTAGTTCAGCTAAATTCCAAAGTTTTAACAATTCTAAAGATAAACAGGCTAAAGGAACACCGCTACCTAAAAGGCTTTATAAAAAACAAACTGGGTGATCAAATTTTGAAATTTTCTGCTTTACTCTAAAGCGCAGTGAATAGCTAGTTAAAAAAAATTCTAGAAGCAGTTAATAAGTATACCTCAAAGAGGTTGAATGATTGTATCATTCTTGCTAGAGTATTTTGGCAATTGTTAGCCTCAGGACTTCAAAAAAGAGAAAAGTATTATGTGTTTGGTTAATGATGGAATATGATTAGAACTAACTTTCTAATTAAGTTGTTGCAGTTGGAAAGCTTTGGAAAAAATCCATTTAATTTCAACAGTTGATGTATACTTAATTATTTAAACTATATAACAAATGAAGGTTGGCGTAGTTTAAAAATATTTTGGAGAATTATTGTCCAGTTATTTGTCTGAAAAGTTGAAACTATGGAATATAGTTGAAACCAGCTACAAAAACAAATGGATAACAATGGAAGAGCAGCAAACTTTACATCAGGTGTGCAAGATGAGTTCTGTTTTAGCTTGATTAAAGTTACAAGGCAGCCCATCTAGCTGTGAACTAGACCTTATTGAAGTAGATAAAGATATGTTAAAATGAAAAAAAGTTCGAAAAATGAGGTTCTTTATTTTAGGGATACAATGTAGGTCATTGTCGTGGAGGTCTATTCTGTTTAAATACATGATTGTTGATATAAAAATACAAACCTCTATCTTATGTCTACCAAAGAACATGCTCATAACCTAGATGTTCTATAAGGAAAGATCACGCAGCAATCTCTATCACATATGATGACTTTTATAATTATTTTCCATTTTCAATAGTAAATAACAAACTGTATGAATTATTTTCATATATAATGCTTAATTTTTTTTGTTACATATAAATGATAAGGTATATTATTAATAAATTAAACAGAAAAAGATTTCTAGTTTTCTACATTTCTTATATTTAATGATAATAATAATTTCATCTATTTTTAACAATGTCTTTTTTTGTCAATATATTCACTTTTATTAAAATCGAAGTAGAAGGCTAAATAATTAAAATGAAAAAAAATGATTTTGATTTTCAGAATCAGCATGAAAAACTAATTAAGAAAAATTAGTTAAACTATAAAAAATTTAAAAAAAGGCGATTATGGACCCCCCCTAGTAAAAGTTTTATTGCAAAAATAACTGTTATTTAAAGAATCCAAATTTAATATGGTTTTAATATCATCAATATATAGTTTATATTTATTTTTTATTTGATCAGGTTATTAATTTATGCACATTTTGTGCAATAGTCTAACATTAGCTCATCTTCATTCATGGCCAATAGCCATGAATGAAGATGAGCTAATGTTAGACTGTTAGATAATATAATGTTAGACTGTTAGATAATATACCTTATCATTTATATGTAACAAAAAAAAATTAAGCATTATATAAGCTACCTTCAAATGTAACTTTCAATTGAAGCTTTAAAAATTGAAGTTATTGCTACTGATAGTATGATACTTCAGGCCTTGTTTTAAAGAGTTACGCCTAGAGCAATTTACGTACGCCTTAAGCAATTTTTATGTACGCGTAGAGCTGTTTTGGTTAAGCTACTTTTTATCATTTTTTAACTTTTAAATTAGCAGTAACATAAAAGAAATAATTAATTTTCAAAAAAAACACATTAACTTTTGAATAACAATATGTTAAAATATTTGTTACAAAAAAGAAGTTACGTTAAAAATAATTGTAGTAACTTTTCATTGGGATAATCTTATCTTACCTTTTTATAGCAGTTAATTTTACGCTAAACTTTTTATCTAAATATTTAGCAACATGAAAAAAGTTTGTTAATCCTCAACTGCATTTTTTTAAATGTTTTAATAAAAATTAGTATTTTTTTTAAAGTTTGTAGTAAAAAACTTTATAAAAATCTATATTCCAAATTTATTAATACAGAATGTTTTTTGTGATATAGATTTTTTTAGAGTTTTTTACTGAATTTTTATAAACACATTTGCAAAAAATTTGTAGTAAAGTATTCACATTTTTTTTAATATCTCAAAAAAAATGTCTTAATATTTCTGTTATCATGATAACAGAAATATCGAGACATTTTTCTGAGATATTAAAATAAATGTGCCAATGAATGAACTATCTATTTTTATTGTACTAAAAATTGCTTTTTCATTAAGTATTACTCTTTGCTTTTTTTCTTACTGAAAGGTACCTTTACCTCTACGTTATTCAAGGATGGGGGCAGCATAGAAGAAAAAAAAATTACCTGCTACTCGCAATTTTTGAATGAAGATTATTTGTTAAATTTCTTCTTCGTACAATTCAATAATTTTTTTTTTTTTTTTTTTATAAATCAAGTTATATTATTAAGTTAAAGAAATCATGAGTAGACTATAACATCCGCTGATGACACTAATATTACGTTGAATATATTTATATAATGGAGGTTTCATTATGCACATGCACAATACAGACTCCGTTAAATAAATACTAAGCCACATTTTAGTTTAATGACAGTCTCTATTCTTTACTAATGACAATGTGTTTTACAAACTATTATATTTCCATTCTCTCCAAATTGTTCGAATATGGATTGTATTTTGAAGGACAAAAGATTTACTTTGAAAACTTTTAAATCCTGGGACTTTGCCGATGCTTTTCAAATTGAAACTATCGCAGAAAAAGAGAAGACTTACGTTATTAAAAGCAAATGTATGTGATCTTCATCTTAATCATTAATATGTGATCTTCATCAAAATAAAATATTATCCAAAACCAATGGTGCTGTATAGGCAGCTGCCCTAGGGTTTATAAATGATACAAATCATGTTAGAAATATTTTAACATGTTGGTTATTTTAAGTTGGTATATAAATTAAAATATTGTTCAATAAATAAATTAAATTTGTTCTTAACAAAGAGTACCTAATATTTATTCTTTTTTGTTTTATTATTCTAAACTAAATTGTTTACAAACAAACAAACAAAAAAGAGTTTTGTAACATTTATACATAAAATAAAAATACTTTTGCGTTTGTTTATAAGTTAAGGAACTTAATTTTTATTAAATTTTTATTAATTTTAACTAAATTTAAAATTAAACAAAAAATATTATGGATCACATTAATCACATAAAAAATATCCTGAAACTATTTGGTAATATTTTTGATGAGCTGGCTAATTACCAATATGCCAATGTAGAGCAAATATAAATATGCCATATGTATTAGCAGCTTTGTGAATTCTAAGTTCGTTTTTATTCACAGCTAAAAAAAATTTCAAGTTCCTTTTTTATTCACAGCTAAACTGCATTTTATCTCATTTTGAGATGAAATGCAGTTTTAACCATCGTTGTTTACATCAAACACTGTTAATAATCGAAGTTAAGTTATAAAAATAACAACTTCTTTGAATTTATTACTAATGCTGCTTTTCTAAGTAATGAAAATAGTATTTTTGATTTAAAATAAAATCATCAAACTGTAAAAAAAAATGGTAGTAATATAGTGAATAACTTGCTGCCCCACAAAAGTCATTTTACTGAAATTAAAACTATTCAAAAAGTTTGATTTCACATATTTTTTTAAAACCAGATTCTAAAAAAAAGGATAAAAAATACTGTCTGAAAAATATGAACATTTTGTAAATAAAGCAAATTAGCAATAGTTAAAGATAAATTTTTTGTCATTGTATCCCTTAAGAAAATATGAAAATTTTGTTTTTCGTAAACTTACTGATGCATTTTGGTATTTTTAATGCGTTGTGGTATTTATAAATTAATTTTTTTTTACAATAATGAAGCACAATAATTTAAAATGTTTTATCAAAAAAAAATTTTTTTTTATAACTGAGATATAAGGCTTCAGGCATAACTGTCCCATTATGCCCCTCTGTCTCGATATAGCCCGCTCTACCTTGCTGCTTCCAAACAACCGCTAAAAAAATAATTCAAGCAAAAAAAAATTTTAAATAAAGTTTTTTTGTTGTTGAAAAAAGATACTAAACTTGAATTTCCTCATACTACTGACTCGATTTGTGATTCTATTCGATTCGCAAATCAAGACCCGCTTCAATTCTAAACTAAAAGTTCTGATTCGCAGGGCCCTACTTATAATTTATATTTTAGTCTATTATATCTTATTTATTTTATTCCAATTGATAAATAATCCTTTTTTTTTTTTTAAAGTCTTTTCGAATTTTCAACACTTGGATGGGTGATCAAGCTAGAATAATATTACTTAAGACAGTTTTAGATGTCATTGAAAAAGATAAATTGTTAGATAAAGTTCAAAGATCTGGTGATGTTCTTTTAAGTGGTCTCAAGAAGCTAGAAGTAAGTATTTAAATATTCTATACATTTTTATATGTACAATTTATACATCATACATACATGTACATACATATGTGTAAATTATATGCATAATATGTAATTATATGTATAAATGCATTCATTAACTTTTAATGACCCACTAAGAATCAGCTTTATCATGGTAGCAACATGAAACTTTAGCAGAAAAAAGTTTTGTTAAAGTTCTAAACAACTGGTGCATATCCAGAATTTTGACTATGGGTACATAGGTGTAAGTGTCTTTGTGTGTGTGCATGTGTTTAAATATATATTGCAATATATAGAAAAATGCTTATTCTCGCCATTGGTGTCTTTTTTTTTAAACAACTGATCCAATTATATCTTTAATATAGAAAAACTTAATAAGTTAATCCTTCCATTATATTTTTTTTTCAAAATATTTTTTAGGTTTCTCTGTATTCAACAAAAGTACATTTTCTATGCTCAAAACAACAATATTATAAGCACCTTGTATTATTAGAATAATTAGTATATTAGTAAATAAATATCCATTGTATGCTAGTAACCACCATTAGAGCCACAACATTTCTTTTGAACCATTAACTTGCACAAACAGCAGTTGTAATCTAACTCCTTTACTGCACAGGGACACTTTTCTAAATTTTTCTCTTGCTTATTTTTAATTTTTATAAAGTATAGCTTTTATTTATTTATTTTTATCCAGTTTATCTAGCTCTTTTGCTGCTCAACACTGCACTTTTAGTATTAGTTTATCTTTTTTTTTCTCTACAACATATCATATGATACTGGCAGTAAGCAACCTGTAATACGGGTTATTAGTCAAAATCAAGTAAAACAAAAAACAGCCAATACCTAAAAAAAGAAATGTAAAAAGTTACACAAATTTGCATTTTATTGTTAAATAAGAATAGTAATATAATAATAAATTTAATAAATTCAACACAAAACACAATATAAACTATAACAACCTAGCTCCATCAACACAAAACACAATATAAACTATAACAACCTAGCTCCATCAACACAAAACAAAATATAAACTATAACAACCTAGCTCCATCAACACAAAACAAAATATAAACTATAACAACCTAGCTCCATCAACACAAAACACAATATAAATTATAACAACCTAGCTCCATCAACACAAAACACAATATAAACTATAACAACCTAGCTCCATCAACACAAAACACAATAGTTAAAAAAGACTAGATAATACACGCTAATAGCACTACTTGGCGTTGCCAAATAACACCACAGCTCAATAAGATATTACTAAAATACATTAACTAGAGGAATTTTATTTATTAGAATATTTGAACAATTGAGTTACAATTATAGCTAAACAATGGTTAAACAAGACATAAAAAAGACAGGAACTTGTAAAATATTTCTTAAACATTGTCATTATCAATTTTGATAAGAAATATGTTAGCACACAATAATTACATAAGTTTCATTCTCTCTTTATTAATTGTTAATTAACTCTCATTTAATCAACACAAAACGTTACAAAAAAACAACATCACAGCAACACACAGCAATAGCACATACCAAAGATAATATAACACTTATATAACATAACTTAAGTAACATAACATTCATATATAACAAAACATAAGTAACAACATTATGCAAAATATTAATAAAAAAATTATTATGTATTTCCAGAATAATTAATAATAAAAGCTAGAAAAAACCAAGACCTAAAGCAGCAACACAGTTTGACACTAAACACTGCCAAGTCACACCTCAGCTCTAAGTTAATTGCTTGGCTGGCAAGGTTGACAAATCTTGCTCTACACGTTTGCACGTTAAGTCACAGCACTTTGAAAACATTTAAATAACATAATATAAACAAATGTGCTAACTATAAACACAATATATATATTTAACCTTATATAACATATTTAAACACATTTTTAAAACAGTTATATAACACTTATTACCACATGCACAAAAAATAAAAAACAAATTCATAAAATAGTTATAAAACACATATTACCACATACACATATTTAGCAAAAAAACATATATGCAAACAAACATATATTGCTTAAATTATGCAAACAAAAAATTTTAAAAAATGACATGAGAAAATTTATAAAGAATAAAAGTAAAATAAAATATAAATATACAAACAATACTCTTTACCTTTATTTTTATTTTTTTTATAAGAACTGTAACAAATTTTAACCTTGACATACAATAACATGTCAGTGTTAGCTCAATATTTTAATTTATTTTTCTAAATAAAAAAGAATATATCTAATATAATAGTATCACAGAAACTTTAAAGTAGTAATAACCAATTTTATGGAAATAGCATTAGTATAACTCTTTTATTGGAAAAAAAGTGCATAAAAAATAGTTAGGCTTCATCCATCCTCAATAAAAAAAAAGACGGCTAAAAAAAAGAAAAGATAAAGCTAAAAGAAAATCTAAAACAAACAAAATGTAAACGTTTTTAAAAATTAAAAGGAGTGATCCATTATATTTTATATCTAAAAATGTTATATATAAAGTGCTAAACTATTTTCTATACTTACTTCAATTATTATATGATCTTAACAATGGTTATTTATCTTAATATGATTCTTTATGTAATATTTATAAACTAATAAATAATAGTTAAATTCCAAAAGGTAAAAAGATTTAAATTGCTTGATAGATCTTTCTCCCATGATTGTGTGCATTTTGAAAGCGTGTAACTAATTAAAACTACTTTGAAAGTGAAATGGTGCTGAACATTGAACATTGAATCTAGCATTTATATTAAGATAAGGGTTCCTACTCAAAGTATGCAAAACATGCAATTGTTATATGGGCTTGCAAAATATTTAAAAGCATGCATTTTTGTTAAATAGTCATGCAAAAATAGCATGGATCAATTATCAAATTAAGTTCATTCAAAATTCAAAGTTTTTTTAAGTTGTTTAATTTATTGTTAGTTTTGTGTTTTTTTTTAAGAAAATGTCTGTTAAATACTCAAGTTTAAAGATTTATTGTATTTTATTTATTAATCATGTTTTAAGATTTATTATTTGTGTTTTAAAATGTATGTTTTATTTATTATTCATGAAGATTTTTGCAATCTCTTTAAAATCTGTTTCTGCCTAAAAATATTTTAGTTGATTTTTTTAAAACTATTTTTTTACAAGGTTTATTATTAACTAAAATATATAAATGGGTGACCACTTTTTAAACCTCATAGGAAAGCAGATTTATTTGAGGTTCAGCTGTGAACCACATTAAAATATCTAACAAACAAAAGCAGTTCAATGGATCATTTAGACTTTCTTATATTAGATATTTGAATGTGTTTTACACCACATTAAAACATCTGCAGTCCAGTTCGGGATTGCTCTGTATGTTAAAAGTAAAACCTATTATTACAAATTCATCAGACGAAAAAGTAGAAATAGTATTATCAT